CTTGGTAGCACATTTGCCAAAAAAAGATCACAAAAAATATATATACTTCATTGAATAAACCTGAACTGGCCTGGGGACATTTAGCCGCATTGCCTGTGCAACGAAGCATGCCTTAATGTAGGATTTAGCCTAGTTGTGCACCATGTTTGGCCAAACAACGCTTGAGTAAGTACGTGATGACTTCCTAAATTGATCACTAATTCCTTTTTTTTTTCCTTTTTACTAGCTACTCTACCTTATTCTAGCTGATTTTTTCATCCTTAAGGGACTTATTCAAAGACACTTCTTTTTCTTTTCTTTAAGACCTTGAAAGAATAGTTTCATTGAATATCATTTAGAATTAATTCTTGATTATGCTACTGATTTGGAAAAGGATTGTTTTTAAACATGGAGCAATCTAAGTGATTTAACAAGTCTTGCTTGAATAAGTCTTCTAATTGAATGTTTGAATAAATTTCTCTAAGTTAATGGTTCGGCTATTCTTGTTAGAACTTTAAAGGAAGATTCTGTGTCAAGTTGAGCCAATATTAAGTTTTGACAGGTCATACACCTCCAGCAACGGCAACAAGTTCAGTTTTGAGAAGTAAAAGCATAAGAGAATGTTTGTTTTATTTACTTTGCACGAGGGCGTGCTAGACTCTAAGTGTGGGGGTATTTGTTGAGTCTAAAATATTCACTAATTATTCTCTTTAAAATCAGTATTTTCGGACATTAAAAAGTACATTTTTACACTTAAATGATCATATTTGCATTCCAGGCATCGTTTATAAAATATGTTATAATGCACACTTTTTAGTTTATTTTTGAATATTATTGTTGTGGGCCCATATTCTTCTTGACAAAGGTTATTAGATATATCTTTGGAGCATAAAATGCGGGCTGAAAACGTAAAAGTGATTCCGTTGGGCTCTACCCCAACATATGGTGATAAAGAAACAGTCCAGGCCCAATCCTCCGCTGCACACATGTAGGGGTGTTCATCGGGTCAAACCCGGACCGGACCGGACCGGGACCGGACCGGGACCGAATAAGGGGCATTTGGTGGACCGAGGACCGGACCGATTAAGCTAAGGACCGGCCTGGGACCGGACTGGTAAAACCCGGACCGGACCGGAACCGGACCGAATAAATGCTACTTTTAATTTTTTTTTTAAATTTTATTTTATTTTTTTAATTTAAAGTATTCAATTGAATAAAAATATTACTACAACTAATTTTTAATTGTAACATACACTAAACATTATCAAACACAATCTGTTCATAATTTTTATTTTGCATAGGGAATATTCTTCTTCTTAGTGCATTTTTTTTGTAATATTTTTTTGAGTTTTCGATTTTTTTTGACAAAGAGATACACTTTTTACTATTTTTGTTCATAAGATTGTTTACAATGTTTGTTCTGCGGATTAGAGTTTTATTATTGATAAAATACAAATTTAAGTTATAGTATTAGTACATAAATTTAAAATGCAAATGATTGCTAATATAAAGGTAATGTTTACTTTTCACACTTTTCATATTAAAAAAATTAAAAATCATTACAGTTGGTATCTTATTTTGAATTGAAATGTATTTAAAAAATTATATTAAATAATAAAATCAAAACATTTAAAAAAATTTAGCATTAAAGTTGAACTAATTTTAAGTATAAGAAAAAATCTTAAAAAATACAATATTATAAACTTATATAGAAAAAAATATTTTTTTAAAAAATAAAATCTAACCGGTCCACCGGTCCGGACCGAAACCCGGTGGACCGGACCGGACCAGACCGGAACCCGAATAAGGAAAAAATAAGGACCGGAGACCGGACCGAATAAGGACCGGTCCGGACCGGTCCGGTCCGATTTTGGCTGCGTTTCGGGTCGGTCCGGGTCCGGACCGAATAATGCACACCCCTACACACATGAAAGAAACCAGAGAAGCTACACCCTATCTGATTTGTTGTTCCCACAAGGAGAACTCCTTCTCCTACTCATTATCTTTTTCATCTCCATCAAAAGAGGCGAGAGAAGAAACGGTGCAGCGCAAATCCCGGAGCGAAGAATCCTAATCCTAGACGGAAGAAGCAATTCCCACCTATAAATCGAGGGAGGTGTTGCGAAGAACATCACCACCACATATGGAGAGCAAGAACTCGAGCTCAACGCATAGGGTAATAACCCCAGGGGGGTTCAGATCTTGCATCCGAAACCCTTCCCTTTCTCTATTTTTTTTCTTCTGTTTTGTCAAACTAGAATTTGTTTTGAATTCTTAATCCCCTTGTTCCCTTCCCAAATTTGTGTTGTTTTGTTTCCTTAAGTTATATGGAACATATTACCAATTGATTTTTTCTTAGTCTAAACCTGTGATGGCTATTTAAAACCAAAGTTTGTTTTCAATAATTAAATATGGGTTTATGCGTTTACTATCTTATACTGGCAATAGATAGCATTATTGATTTTTCATTGGTTTCAATACTGTCCAAGTTCCGGAACAAGTTTGTGTTTTAGAAGCATTCTTTGAGAGTGTTCTTTATGTTTCTATGTCATCTATGGTCCGATTTCGTAAAAAAAATAACATATAAAACCAGAATTTTTGGAAGAAGTATTGAATCTTGTTGCTTAAAATTGAATCTGTCTATGGGTTTAAACTTTTACTACAAGTTTTATAATCTGAAAATAATTCAAGCTTTTGCTACTTTTAAATTAATTCAAAGAAGTTTGAGAACTATTTTTCAATTCATTTTACTTAAGTTGGGTCAAATTAGGATCTCGACCTAATCCAATTTAAAATGATATTCTTTTAAAATCCAAAGTGCTTTAAATAGCCAAACTTTTCTAGAAACCAAGTGTTACTTGATTAGTACTAGATTGCCTCGTTAAGTGATTTTTGCTAATCAAGGTTCTCAAACTGATTTTGTTAAATAACCTTCGTGTTATTGCAAGATTGTTACGGTGATGTTTTCCACAAATCTTAATGCACTATTCTTAGTAGTAATCTAAGGGTTGGTCTTTGGGTTGCTAAGGGTAGTGGGGTTTAGAGTTAGGGTTGGTCCTAACATGAGCTTTTTTGAATGTGAAAATAGGGAAGAACAGTTGGTGGACCTCTTCTTCGGCCTAACTCTTATTTTAATTTATTGTTGGTTGATGATTATGATAGTTTTTAACAAGGTTTTGATCCTAGATATTTATTTTCTATATTATAAAACATTTTGTTGGTTTTCTAAAATTGTTTAAGTCTCTAAATTATTGTGTTATGTGTTTGTCTTCTTTGTTTGGGCTTCTTGGTGGAGTTATGTTCTGTTTCTATCCTTAGTTTGTTTTGAGATTTGTTCTAGTGTGGTGTGTCACTTTAGTTACTTTTTTTTCACTTTAGTTTGTTTTGAGATTTGTTCTAGTTGTTTTTATGCAATAAAAAGTGATAAAGTAAATCAATTTTCATAACCTGAAAAATATCTTTCCTCGTGGGATCGACCCTTATTTATCCTATCTACATGTTTATTACATATTATTTTTACAAGAAGGAGTTGAGTAAAGGATAATATTAAATTAAATTTTTAGGTGCTACGACACGCCTATCAGTACCGTACTGGTACCGTGTCCACCCCTACTTGATACCCTCTTTAAAACATTTTTTTTGTTTTTTTAATGGTCTGAAGGCCGATTTTAAAAATACATGCTCTGGTAACAAAATGTAACACCCTAATCCACGTAACGCGAACCAATGTATTAGCGAATCGATTGCTACTAATATGGTATCCAAACATAATAAATTTTAAAACACTTAGATAAGAATCAACTATTCTAAAAATAAATTAATTTATTTACCAGAGTTATTCCAAAATACTGTGAAATTTTATTAAGTCATATCATGTCATTAAAGCAAAACAATCCATAAATCTCTAGCAAATCTGCACCTTAAATATTCCCTTCCATCTCACTACCCTCTGCGTGCAGTCAAAGACAACAAAGACTACACGCTTAGCTGAAGGTTGTGAGAATATTTCTAACACTAGCTACAATTCATAGAATAGAAACATATCAATGCTGATGGTGTAAATTACTTGACCAGTCAAACTATACTAGACCGGGTCTAGAATAGTTGGCTTGATTTAGTAAAGTAAAGAAAGTAAAAACACTCAGAATGACCGATAGGATTTTAGGTGGAACACTAGTAGCCCGAATTAGATTATAACAGAGACTACACGGTCACTTTTACAAGGGAGTTTAGAGAGAATGAATTCGGATCCCCTTCTTCGAGGGTTACAAGAGGTATTTATACTAAGTTGGGGGGACAGGACCACGTGCGCCCACGTGGGGGCACGCTGCTGATGTGGTGCGAGGTGACTGGTTTCGTCCTCGAGCTGCCCTATCGCCTTGTGAGAGGGATTATTCCCTTTGTCGCGTTCTGACTTCGAAAAATGCTTTCAGCATCTCTGTAACGCCAACCACTACAATCCAAGTCTCTTTGGACTCTTCCTGCCGACACTCACCAATCTTGAAAAACTTCACTGGTTGGTCTTCGTGGGTTGGATTTGCTAACTTCAAAGGATGAACTTAGATGCCAGCATAGTTTGACCGGTACACTATCCGAAGTATACCGGTCAACTTTTTGGTCAACCAGTCATACCTCTGCTGACGATTCAAATCTTTCTTTCAGGTTTGACCTCTTTGACCGGTCAACTATCTGGTTCCACCTATTGACCGGTCATGGGTGAAATACACCCATCAATAAGCCCTCCACTTCTCAATTATGCCATTTTGTCATAAGCGAGAAGTAAAAAATATGAAACAGATCTTTTAAATTCGAATTTTTGTATTTCTTGCCTAAAATTTTTGAATTTCAAAATTCAAAGTGTCAATGCTGACACACGTTAACCGTTGGAGAAAGCCATCATTGCGTCCGTCCGTATTCCCATGCAGAATTATTGCGCCGCCTTACGCGGCGTGCTCTGCTCGTGCCACGTCGCTTGATTCAATCCTCCCTCGCCTATATAAAGGCCTCCAACCTCATTCATTCCTTCACTTCTTCTCGCGTGTCTCCCGAGTTTCACCGGTCAGCATCCTCTCTCTTGCCTTCCAGCCCTCCGAGTCAAGTAAGCTTCCTTCTTTCTTCCTTAGTTTTTTTCTTCTATTCTTCGCTTTTCCCTCCGGTCCATGTCTTCTTCTGATAGTCAAGATATTTCTACCTCGGATGCCCGCGCATCCGAGGAATCCCCGTCCTCTTCTTTGTCGACCGGGTCATCTTCACCCGTTCCTAGACCCCGGTCGATTCCAAACCCCAATATCCCTGAGCCGCAGCCTGTAAACCGGATGCCCGGTCAAGTTTTTGCGGAGAGGGTGGAGCTGGTTAGCGACAAACCGGCCCCCTATGACCCGGATAATGAGACCCGGGACCAGTGGGTGGAGAGGTTGGAAGTAGCCGGTTACTCTCCCCTCCCTTCCAGCTATCCCTCCGAGATCTTCCCCCGGATTTCCAAGATAGCCCAAAACAAAGCCCGTCAGAATCGAGCCCCACCAGGATGATAGGATAGGTTTCCACATCACCTCTCTGGAGAGTGGCATCGTCTTCCCCCTTCGTCCCCTCCAGGTAGAGTTGTGTCAATGTTTTAAGATTCTTCCCAGGCAAATTACGCCCAATGCCCACCAGCTCCTCAATGCCTTTATGAATATATGCGTTGAGCTTAAGATCGACCCCTCCCTTCGTCTGTTTCTCTTCTTGTTTGAAGTCCTTCCCGGTAAATCGGGTTGTGACGGTTACGTCTACTTTAGAGGCCGCAATGGTCGCCAATTTATCTCCGACCTTCCACAAAGCAACCGGCAGTGGAAGGAGAAATTTGTTTTCATAAGATTCCCCACTGATTCTCCTTTGGCCGGTATACGATGGAATGACCACATCTTGAAGCCGGAAAATACTGAGCCGGCTACAGCTCCTGACTTGGAGGAGAGTTTGGGGAAGCTTCTTCAGGGGGACCCCTTCACCGGGCAGATGTTCCACTATGGGGCATGGATCTGGAGGATCCAACTGGGTGGTAAGGGTACCCCTCGGGCCCATGGCGCAGCGGGGCACGGGGTACCCACCCCGGGCAACACTGCTGAGGCTGGGGCCCAGGCCACCCAGGTAACTTTCATTTGTTCTCCTCCACTTCATCGTACCGGTTCTTGCTTGAGTACTTACAAGTATTTTTTTTGCCTGTTTTACAGACATGAATTTCAGGGCGTTCAACATGCCGAAGAAAACCGGTAGCTCTTCCTCCGCTACCGCAAAAAACAAGCCGGTGCAACCGGAGACGGTTGTGATCCATGACAAGGAGGAAGACCCTCAGACCAAGGGAATAGACCAATCAGGGAATGCAGCGGTGAACCCTTCCCCCAACAAGGGAAAAGGAAAGAAGAGGGTGAAGCATGCAGCCACCACCCACCCATCCTCCAAGAAGAGAAGAGGGGAGCATTCCCCGGTCAACGAATCAATGGAAAAGCTATGGGTCAAGATGACCCTCAAGCTGAGAGAGGTAACATTCTCCCGGTGTCCTTTTTAACATACCGCTTGCTTGTTTTGGCTAACTGGTCTGACCTTCGATTTGCAATTGGGCGAGGCTGGGCCGGAAACCCTGGAGCAGCTCACGGAAGACTCCCCTTCCCGGTCGGCTCAGTTGGAGGAGAAGCTGATAACTCGGGTTTGTTTTGTACTTTTTATTCAATTTTAGGCATTTTTAATATTTTTAGTGTTTAATTTTTAGTTGTTTTGCATAGTTTTACTTTAATTCTCATTTTTACAATCTTTTATTTTTCTATCATAAATAGTAGCTTTTTAATCATTTTTTTAAAACATTTTATTATTGTCTTCATTTTATTTTATTTTTCCTAACTCAAATTATCAGATATCTTATTTGTGGAGAAAGTGCAGCAAAAGGCCAAAATGCAGTTCAAGTTTGGAAGGAGAAAGATTTTGGGTTGGAGCCCAAACCCATCAGGCTTGTCCTTTTCATATTTACGCACAAGGAAAAAAAAGAGAATAGAACCGGCGACTTCTTCTTCACCACAGCGGCCATCTCACGCTCCAACGTCTCTCCCTGAAATTCGCTCCTCATTTACACTCCAACGGGAAAAATCTTTCGGCTATAAATTGCGCCATCGCTCAACAAGGAAATGGGGGGATCACTGAGAATAAAGCAGCGGCTCTAGCCGCTGCTATCTACGCAGCTCCGATGGCGATGGGCGGTGGAGGAGGCGACAACCAGCGGCGGCGACGGTAGCGGCTGCAGCTCCGGTCGGCGATGGGCGGCGAACTCCAACTCCGGTCATGGCTCCAATTTCTTCAATTACTTCATCTTCTTCAACAATTGGTAACCCTTATTTGTCAAATTTTATTTTTTTCCTCCAATTCTATGTAAAACTGTTGTTTTTAATTTAATTTTACATTTTTTTTGTTTGTTAGTTTGTTCCAAAAATTTTATAACAAAATGGTTTGTGTTCTTTTATGGATTTTTTAATGTTTATATTAAATCCCTTATGAATAAAAATTGATTCGTACTAGTTTTCTTCAATTATTGTGCAAATTGTTGATGAATTGGTTGAATCGCACGGTTTGATTTCATAAGTAGGTTGGTACGTAGAATTTGGTTCTCATTGAAGCTATTTTAGCTCCATATTATAGTTAAATGATTTCCGAATTCATACGTGATTCTTCGTTGTGCTATGTGTTTTGTAAAATTTTAAGGATTTTGGACTTCTTAGCCACATAAGTTGGACATTTTTCTTAAGATTCGTTATGAAGTGATTGTTATGTTGTTCGTTTGTTTTGTGTTGATTTTCATAAAATTTAAGGTTGTTTAAGCACAAAAACAATTTTTAAGTTTTTGAAAATATGTAATGTTCTTTTATGTGAATAGATTACAATTCTTATGCTTGAGTAGTTCAAGGAGACCTGCAAAATATTTTCATCATTAGACGTTAAAGTTTATTAAAGTGTATCAAATGTTCTTCATGAATACTTTGTGCATGGGAGTTAGAATGAAAGAAAGATTCGCTCTTTTATAAACTTTTTCATCTTTTGGAATNTGTTTCTTGGGTTACCTTAGTTGGAGATGATTATCTTTTTAGCTTGTTTCCCCATTTTTATCAAAAAAAAACCAAAAAAATAAGAAAAATATAAAAAACCAAAAAATACTTACTTTTCATCCAACCCCCCCCCCTTTGTGTTGTTTATAAGTTATATTATAAGTTCTTTGTTTATATAAGTTATATTTATATGTTTTTAGTTATAAGTTTTATTATAGGTTTTATAAGTTTTATCATACGTGTAGTAGTTAGTTTTATTTTTATTTAGTGACAACGTGTTTGCATGCTATTGGTTTTCAAAAGTACAAACTTTCTCCGTGGGATCGACCCTTACTTGCCCTAGCTATAGTTTTTATTTGATTATATTTTGGGGGTTAGTTAAGGATATTTTATAAATTTTTAATTTGTTTTGGACCACACGACCAGTCCCCAACAAATTTTGGCGCCGTTGCCGGGGAAAGTTTTGTATGAATTAAATTTAGTATGCCTTTGTGTCATGTATTATTTGCTTGTAAGAAAGCATGAGTTGATGAAGTAGCCTCTTTTCTACTGTTTTGCATGATAAAATTTTCAGAACTGAGGTTCTTTGTGCTTACCGAAACTGAAATCAGCATTGGTGTTGTTGTTTGCTGCTGGAAACTAGATTTTCATTGCTGTTTTTTTTTGAGAATTTTAGGCCTATTTTCAAGAAAAACTGCTTTTTGACATGATCTTTAGCATTTTGCCTTGCTGATTTTGTTTCCTTTGACCATACATGTTACATTTGAATGACGTAAGTGCATATTTGTTTCATTTTTTTATGTGCACATGCATATATAGATTATGTTATGGATTTGTGCATGCTGATTTTTCAAAAATTCTGCACTATTTTGGTTGAGTAACTGCTGTTTTTGTCCCTTAGAGTGCTCCATATGCTTGAAATTTAAAATATCATTGCTCTATCTTGCTTGGGGACAATACTTAGAAGCATATCATGAGGTTTCTATGCTGATTTTGATGCCTATTGTGCTGAATTTTTGATAAAAACTGATCCAAGTGCTGTTTTTAAAAAAAAAATCTGCATTCTTTTTTTTATGTGCATGCTGATTTTTGTGTTCCAAGATGCCTATATGCTGAATTTTGAAGTTTCATTGTTAAAAACTTGCATGGGAACTTATGTGGGAGCATTTAGCATGCGTTTTTAAGCTTGTCTTGATCGATATATGCTCCGTGTTGCTCTCAAAGTGAAAAAAAAAATGCAGAAATCTATTTCAAGAAGACTTTGAAGCCTATTTGTGCAACTTTAAATCTGATTTTCCATTCTTAATGGAGCATAAAAATGCTATTCTTAGAGTTGAATTCAATTCTTGATGCTTATCTTGTTTTTACACTTTTTAATGTTTTAAAGAAACATATTTACTTTACTACTTCATGGCTTAAGTGAATATTTGTTGGCAAGTAGTAAACTGTGTCTAGCCAAAGACGTTAAATTGGGCAGCTTATGGGAGGCAACCCACCTTTTTAAGTTTTTTTATCTTTCTAAAAAAAACTTTTTTTTACTTATAACTTCTCGTTATTGTTGTACTTTTCCTCTTATAGTTATTGATTGCATTTTTTTTCCTATTTTTCTTTAACTTCTTGTTGTTGTACTTAACTTTTTTTTTTTTGTGGTTATTAATTTGATTTTATTTCTTTTAAGAACCAACTTTTCTTCCATATTGATGTAATAGTACTTGTTGTAATTATAGGATTAGTTTTTTCCTTTTTCTCTTTCATTTTATTTTTGAAAAACACAAAAAAAGTGAAAAAAGTATGTTGCTTGATGTTTTTACTTCATTTGTGCTTCTAACCATCTACTTTGAGAGCTTTTTGCAAGATTTGTTGAGTTTTAGGTGGAAGCATAGGTGTTTGGAGTAAAATCTGCACAAACAGGTGTGAAATCTGAAATCTGATCCAAATCAGTAGTTCCAACCATAGTTATTAAAGGCGCTCGCCTCTCTCGCCTATGGCGCCTCAGGCGACCAGGCGAGCTCTCAGCGCCTCAAGGAAGCCAGGCGAGGCGAGATCCCTAAGGCGCGCCTAAGGCGGTCGCCTTTCTCGCCTCAATCACTGCCTTAAGGCTTCAGTATACAATGCATAATATTTATTGCTATATATTACTCAATATATATATATATACACACACATATATATATATACATATACATATATATATACATACATACATACATAGTATCAATATTATGTGTTTATACATGCATATATACATATGTGTGTGTGTGTGTGCCTGTGTATATGTATATGTATGTATGTATGCATGCATGTTCGCCATTTGATCGCCCGCCTCTCGCCACGCCTCTCGCCATAAAAAAGGTCCTCTCGCCCGCCACTCGCCACTCGCCATTAATAACTATGATTCCAACTGCCCCAGGTTGCTTCAGTTTCCTTATCCTTTTTGTGTTCAAAGTTTGGTTTCTGATATTACAGTTTGCACAATGAGAATCTGCACTATAAGTCATGATTCCGCTTGCACAAGTGAATAACCTTTCCTTTCAAATCTGATTCATGAGCTTAAATGGTAATTATCTGCGTGGTAATGTGCAAAATTCTGATCCAAAACAACAGATTCAAGCACATACTGGTTGCTTTGTTATGAGTTTTCAGTTCCTTAAGGCTTGAGTACTATTATATGGACATATTTATGCTGAAGGCTGAGACATGTGCATTGTTTACAGCTGATTTTTGGATACTAATGAAAAGTTCTGCATTTTGATAGTTATTTTTGGACTTGTAAGCTGATTTTTTGAGTGCAAAATGCAAATTTTACACTTTTTACAGCTTATAGGTGCTGAAATAGGAAAAAAATCTGCAATCTTTTCTTGATGTTCAATCTGATTTTTGAGTTCACCAGATGCATATGTGCTGAATTATGATGTTATTAGATGTATATGAGCTGCTATGCATGTGCTTGATATGACTTTACCTTCTCATATGCAGCATTTTGTTTTGAAAAGTGCAAAAAGGGATAAGAATTGGTTTCCAGAACCAAATTTGAAGCTTGAAATTTGCATTTCTTTAAATCTGATTTTTATCTCTTCAAAGCTAAAAGACTTGGTCTTAGTCATGTTTTTGCAGATTTTAGGTCCATCGAGCACTTTAAGGAGGGAAAAGTGATGAACTGATGCTGCGTATACTTTGTTTTTTTTGCATTTTCCAATCTCCTTCTCTCTTCGCTAAGCTTGTTTTATATTTCCATTTGCATACCATATATGCATATAGATGCATCAAGGACAATGCACAATTTAAGTGTGGGGGGAGATTATCATATTTATTCCGTTGTTTGGGGAGTATATTTTTGGGCAATTTTTTTTTCTCTCAAAGTTTTGGGTCCAATTTTGTCATTCTTTGTTGAATATCTCCTTATATAGAGCATTGTTTTTAAAATTGACCCAAAAGCTTCACTCACTTTGTTTTCAAAAAAGTTTTGGAGATAAAGTTTTAAGTTTGAATGTATACAGTGCATTTTGTTTTTCTTGATGATGATTGCAATTGAAATGGTTTCCTTTTGGCCCTTAAACGAGGACGTTCAAGTCTTAAATGTGGGGGTATATGTGAGATTATCATATTTATTCCGTTGTTTGGGGAGTATATTTTTGGGCAATTTTTTTTTCTCTCAAAGTTTTGGGTCCAATTTTGTCATTCTTTGTTGAATATCTCCCATCTCCTTATTTAGAGCATTGTTTTTAAAATTGACCCAAAAGCTTCACTCACTTTGTTTTCAAAAAAGTTTTGGGCAAAAAGTTTTAAGTGTGAGTGTATACAGTGCATTTTGTTTTTCTTGATGATGATTGCAATTGAAATGGTTTCCTTTTGGCCCTTAAACGAGGACGTTCAAGTCTTAAGTGTGGGGGTATTTGATAACTCGGGTTTGTTTTGTACTTTTTATTCAATTTTAGGCATTTTGAATATTTTTAGTGTTTAATTTTTAGTTGTTTTGCGTAGTTTTACTTTAATTCTCATTTTTACAATTTTTTATTTTTCTATCATAAATAGTAGCTTTTTAATCTTTTTTTTTAACATTTTATTATTGTCTTCATTTTATTTTATTTTTCCTAACTCAAATTATCAGATATCTTATTTGTGGAGAAAGTGCAGCAAAAGGCCAAAATGCAGTTCAAGTTTGGAAAGAGAAAGATTTTGGGTTGGAGCCCAAACCCATCATCAAATAAAGATGTCCACCAGGCTTGTCCTTTTCATATTTACGCACAAAGGAAAAAAAAGAGAATAGAACCGGCGACTTCTTCTTCACCACAGCGGCCATCTCACGCTCCAACGTCTCTCCCTGAAATTCGCTCCTCATTTACACTCCAACGGGAAAAATCTTTCGGCTATAAATTGCGCCATCGCTCAACAAGGAAATGGGGGGATCACTGAGAATAAAGCAGCGGCTCTAGCCGCTGCTATCTACGCAGCTCCGATGGCGATGGGCGGTGGAGGAGGCGACAACCAGCGGCGGCGACGGTAGCGGCTGCAGCTCCGGTCGGCGATGGGCGGCGAACTCCAACTCCGGTCATGGCTCCAATTTCTTCAATTACTTCATCTTCTTCAACAATTGGTAACCCTTATTTGTCAAATTTTATTTTTTTCCTCCAATTCTATGTAAAACTGTTGTTTTTAATTTAATTTTACATTTTTTTTGTTTGTTAGGTTTGTTCCAAAAATTTTATAACAAAATGGTTTGTGTTCTTTTATGGATTTTTTAATGTTTATATTAAATCCCTTATGAATAAAAATTGATTCGTACTAGTTTTCTTCAATTATTGTGCAAATTGTTGATGAATTGGTTGAATCGCACGGTTTGATTTCATAAGTAGGTTGGTA